ACAATTTCCCAGAAACCAAAGGTGACAGTTTCAAAATGGCGGCTTTGACTGACCATCAGACGAAAGTTTAAATATATTCAATTTGCAGTTATAAATTTGTTTTCAGATCTTTACATTTGTTAAACTGATACCAGACAATTTTTACTTGATAAATGACTTTTTGATTGATTATCCAAAGTATTTGTGAAAGGAATTTTTAGTCGATCAACAAATTGATTAATCAGCTGATGATTTTATGCTCTGGGAAATTACACAGAAAAACATCAAACTGACAAAACTTTACGTTTACAACAAAAAACCGGAACACTTTCATTTTGCTGGTTTATAATTACAGTTCGCTATGAATTATTAATATTCACCGTAGAATTTTGTAAAAACACAGTATGATGATGTCAATGTGACTTCAGTCATTGATAATTATGAATTATCAGTTCAAATGTCAAGTAAAAGCACCTTTTTCTTCAGATTTCAGGGACAGACTAGAGCCTGAAGGAACTCACTTTTAGAGACACTGTTAAGAGATAGTACTGCAGCATCCAGTGCAGTCATATCTTACTCATGACCACCTGAGATGGGACTATTTCATCTTATATTTGACCAAGTTAAGAGGTGCACCTCATATCGAGAATGGTGCCCTGCGAGACCCCTGATGCTGGCAGGAGGAAGCACAGTAACAGCCTCCTCTCTCTCTCGGACTGTTTGCACAAAGATGAGTATATCCATCCACGTTCTAACAGCACAGCAATCCCTGCATTGCAATAACATGGCATTACCAACAGGAGAGTAAAATTGCACTGGATGCAGCTTAGTAGCACCTCTGTGCATTTGGTGTTTTGAAGATAATGGCTGCGTGTGTCTGAGGGGGGTCTGCCGATTTCAGTATCATAGCTTCACTTGAAATGCCCTCGATGACATCTGTCCGGCGAAGATAGGTTCACAAGGAAGGCTAAGTGAATGAGCAGGACTGCACACCGGCCAGCTTTACAGTGACTCATGGGTAATCACAAAGGTGGGATTACTGTATCCCCATCTTTTCTCTTACTCCCGGTCTGTCACTCAAGTTACCCATCACATAAATCCTTCAGCAGATGGAAGTTGGGGGGTCCAAATCCTCATAAAACTCATCTCTGCAGTTGCTGCTGCTGCTTCAGTGACATGCACACACACTCTCCCCCGACGACTATCACAGAAGAACTATAGATGCGGTAAAGACACGGCACTCCTTGCAGACACAATCAAATCAGAAGAGAGCGCGAGGAGATGATGTGCTCCCACTGAGGACGGGCAGGTGGAATGAGACATACGGCTGCAGTGATGAGGTGAGAGGAGTAATTGGCGGTGTCAAAGAAACCAAGTTGCGGAAGTGCCCTCACTCTCCTAGGGGGGGATGAGTCATTGAAAATGTGTAAATAATCGGTAAAACCAACACGTCTGAGCAGCCAGACCTCCTTCACCTGCGGTGGATCCATCCCACCCTGACAGAATACACATTTTTCAAGCCCACAGGCATTCGCAATTTGGTGGGAGGATTGAAAAACGGGTGCTAAGATTGAGCGATGAGAGGTCAGCGAGATAAACATGTTGACTCCTCCTGTGCTGATTACAGATCAGTCATGATGGATTGCACCTACTCATAGTCTGCGAGCTCAAGTATACATGCCAAGAAGTGCCCCTGCCAGGATAGCACATAGATACTCACAGATCACAAACACAAAATAAGAGACAAAGAAAGTATGTACGGAGAAAACGTAGGCAGGAACTCAAAAGGAAAACTGAGCAGTGAGAATTGCTCTAATTTGGTTTCGGTGGTCAAAAATAGGCAAATTCACACTTAATTGGCCCACCTAAGATTTAGACATGCAGGAAACACCCAGCTGTACTGCCAGCCGGTTTTGGCTTGAAGGTTTTCAATTTCCTGTGCATCTGTCTATCCATCCTCCCGGCCAAAAACAGTTTATTAGCAGCTAATACAAATTCTCTCTCATTCCATCATGCACACACACACACACACACACACACACACTGACAAATCAAGATCCACATAACACAGCAGCACGTCTGTTCAAAAAGTACTCTAACATATGCAGAGACAGAGCTCAACATATCAGCACTTCCTGTTAAAAATTGAATCAGGAAGGTCAGACCGCTGTCTGAGGATGAAGCTTTCGTATTGTGACAAACTTTTTTTTTTTTCTTCACTGGCTTTACTGCTGCTGCTCCGGCTACCAACACGGAAAGAGAAGAGACGAGTCATATAATTAAAGGAATAAAGGAAGAAAGGGCCACTGTCCGTGAAGCCTTCCGGGAACAACCACATCGCTACACAAGAATGTCAATTTAGGACGATTCTGTAAAAGACAAAGATTGCGTTACATGCCCGAAGCTTTTGGAATTCTTGCTTTGCACAATAAATCTGGGTTTTGTTTTCAATCGACCAACGACAGCTAGATTTAATGTGTTGCACGACTTTCTTTGTATTTATGCTGAACGGCGCGGCGTCAACGTGCGTCACATGCTCGCCTGGGCGCTGTGGGTTTCAGTTAAACTGCTGAAAACAATACGGCAACACACCGACGGTGAGTCATGCAGCTGGAAAGAATGAACTCGCTATAGCGCACAGGCGAAATCAGTGCACAGGCTTTCTGTTAAGCACACAGTGAAATGAATCACCCCTGGGTCTACTTTATGTCCAACACAACGTCTACAAAGTGAAAGGAGAAAGAGCTCACGTCCTTAAAGCCTGCTTGAACACTGACTTCTAGCAAGACAAGAGTGCTTATGTAACCGGCTTTACTTTAACCACGGGTCCAACGCCACGTTCCTTGATGAAACTCGGGAGCCGTCAGTCAAACTCTGCCTCTAATAAGCCATTCCACTGATTAAAATGCCCAGCGTACCTTTTACAAAGGCTGGTTTCTTCTCCGCCTCCATTCATAGGTACTGGATAACCAACAGGCTATGCATTAAATCCAATGGGAAATTAATGGTGCATTTCACCTGGTGCTGTGCTGCATACGGAGGATTTGTAGTGCGTACAGTAGGAATTGTAAATGAATAAATTACCTCATACACACTGATACTTTCAGAATATCTGATGTCCATCAAGGATACACGCTTATAAATCTGCTCAGATATTATATTTTTAAAAAAAAAGAGGCTCCTTTTACCTCAGAGTTTCTTCCCAGTTGTTCTTCACTCACTTCAACTACATTTAAACAATATCGCACCAAAGGGAGTGATGTTGTGCTGAATACGAGCACGGCTGTGATTCGGTCACAGGTCACGAGGCCGCGGTTAAATAGTCCCAGTACTCAAAGAAAAACGCCTCTCGTCCAATCAAATTACTTGTTCGGAACCAACTGTTGTATTATAATAAACAACTAAGCTGCTGATGTTCCACACGTCATATTTTACATCACAATGCAACATGCAGCTCGCACGACTTCACAGAACAGAATGACTTGAAAGAGCCAAAAGATCAAGAGAGTTTTCAGACTTTTTTTTTTTTAGACACTTCAAAACAACTGGACTTGCTCTCATTACATATTCAACCCCCAGTTTTTATGGCCAAGGCCCCATTTAATTCTCACTTTCATTTTCCCACTGTTAAAACTTTTAAACCTAAGCATAACTTTTTTACACCCGTGAAAAGTTACGGTTGCACTTTAAACCATTTAATGGCTCGGGTTAGGGTTAGGGTGAGGGGTTAGCTAAACAGTAGAATTGTTGAATCTCAATTAATAACCTTTTGAAATGTTACAAATACTCAGTAAAGCCTCTGTAGGCGGACTGTGCAAATAAAGAGTTACCGAAGTTACACTATAATTCAAATTAATTCAGTTTAGATTTTCTTTTGTTGTTGTTTTATTTGGAGGTAGGGTTTAAACACATATTATATTGTATTATGTGATTATATTATGTACAATTGTACATGTTATTTTGTATATTTTGATAGCAAGTGGACTTTTAGTTGTTTCGGTTCTTACGGTTCATCCATCACACAGTAACGAGGAGGCGTCTGACGTACGGCCAGAGTCCTAAAGAACTATCATGTTATTATTTCTGTAAGTTATAATCAGTCTGATACATTTTTCTACACAAAGTTGTCACTGACGAAGCGGTTTTCTGAGCATCAACTGGAAACATCCTCCTGTGCTTCCTCCATCACTGCTCGTCATCCTGTCGAAGTTTTCTAAAGAAAGTCAGAGAAGTCGACACATCTGAACATCAGACATCGATGTTGTTTTCTCTCCTGATGACTGGCACAGAGAAAGAGGAAGATGTTGCTCTGGTTTCTAAAAGGTAAGACAATGCAGCCACCACGCTTCGCAGGGTGGTGCGGCTGTTGTGCTACAGATGACCCTCAGCAGGTAAGCTCGGTCAGCCCCGCCCCTTTCTAACCCTCAGTCATCCACAAGTCCTCGGAAAAACCTTCTCCCCCGCTGGTCGGCTCAATCTCACGCGTTCTCATTCTGCCTGTCTCCATCTCGCCTCTTTTCCCTCCTTGTCAAACTATTTATTTTTTCCCCTTTTGTAGTCTTTGCAGTTTCTCACAAAAACCCTGTAAACATTTTCCTCTTATTTCCAAGGACAGTCAAATTAAACCAGCGTTCTCTCCATAAGCGTATACTAAAAGCTGTAGTTTGGTGGTAAGTAATGCTATATTTTTACCTCAACCGAACTAACACTTGGACACACTGTACACATTCTTGACGCGGAGAGAGAGAGAGAGAGAGAGATACACAGTCGGACCTAGAGGGTCAAATATCTCAACCTGAGATCTTCATTATCTGCTGAAAAGGTGCAGTGAGACTGCACCAGGTTGAAAATGCATTTTCCCTGAAGCTATGCTACAAGCCAGGAAACACAAACAAAAGGTAAAAAAAAAAAAAAACCTGCTTGCATCTTGATCCAGGACTGAGCAAAAACAATAGGGATTGTTTTTTTTTTTTTTTGGGGGGGGGGGTTTAATGCATTTTGCAGAAGCTTTTGTTGCTCACCTTAATGTGGCTGTACTCCGCTTTGCCAGACTCACTGCTGACAGGCTTGTTCTCGGGCCTGGGTTTGAGGACTTGGCGCAGCGGACTGGAGATTGGCAGGCCTGTCACACTGATCCCATCTGAAAAGACATTGTGGCATCACACAGTCAGCAAAAACAAAACCAAACAACAAAGTACAGAGACATGGCTATCATTAAACAGCGGCTGGCAGAGCATCACAGCAAACGGTCTCGCAGTGCGATATATCAACAGTCTGTGATGCGTTACAACGTTGTACAAGAGCTATTTTGTGATTAATTGTTTTAATTACATTTTTAATGTACTCACTTTGCTTCATCTAGCTCGTGTTTAGTTAGTGATTTCCAACATTTCCCAGAAGAACCATGTTCCTCACAATTACTTAATGATCCCCACGAAACAGGTAAACAGGCCCAGGCATGTTGCGCAGCTAATAAGCTAGTTCTTTAATGTGAGATCACGCCCCTTAACTCAAAACACAACATTTCTTTTAACATCCTCTGAACTGGAGCTTTTTTTTTTAACATATTTCCAGCTTCTCTTTTTGTATAACTGCTGAATGTCACTGAAAAACGACATCATCAACTTATGTCTTTTTGTAAATGCAAATAGTTTTTATTCTCATACTGTTCAAATGTGTTAAATGTGTTAAATTGTTTTCTTTTTTACCATAATCTACATACAACTGACCATTTGCTAGACTCCGCCCCTGAATAACCACTGTCCAATCGTCGCTTAGCAACAATGACTGGGCACGGACGGCCTGCCAAGCTTTATATTTCTCTAAAACTGTGTGAAGGGTTTGGGGAGCGTTGGATGCTAAAGGTTCAAACTGGAACCACAAACCAGCAGGAAACAAGGGCTGCAATCAGTTATTCGATTAATTTACAGGGAATGTTGATTTCCGATAACATTAGCTTATGCTAGCTAGTTAGCCAGCTAGCTAAAGCTAACAACAACAGCAATGATTTCAGCTGAAAATCAAAAATCACTGGCAAGAAATGAGCTTATGTGTAAAACCAAGGACCAGTTGTTTTAAAAAAAAATACATTTGAGTGATAAAATCATCCATTATTGTCACTTAAAACTGTCACTGTGAGAACGCAACAGTAATTAAGGAGGATGTGGAGAACAGTCAGCCAAAGCCAGAGCTGATGCACTGTAGCTCTGTAGTGTAATGTACCTTTGAGACTGTTATAATGTTCACAGAGGTGCTGATTCACCTTCATGGTCACTTTGGAGGCTGCTGCTGTTGAATTATATTATATTATATTATATTATACTGAGAGGTGTGTGTTATACTCTGTCTACCCTCACTGATATAAACACAAATGCAGTATATGCATCAAAATAAATACAATATACTATTTATATCAGTGTACTTTATCTCAACGTACTGTGGTCACTTTGTCTTGTATATCACACTTGTTTCACACTTACAGTACAGTAGCTGCTTTAGAGGCAACTTCGTTTTTTTTTTAATATTTTAAAACGATAAGAAAAAAAAAATCTGAGATCAAACGGCTCGTGGCTCAACTACAAGCATGTGAAGAATAAATGAATGATTTTATATTCATGACCTTGAGAGAAGCAGCGTGGACACTGGAGCAGCTGCACTATCAGCAGCTGTGTTCGGCTCCACCACAGGGGCTGCTGCTTTTTCGACCCTCTCAGACAATACTCAAAAAATGACGCCCAGAGCCCACGCTCTGACGTCAAAGGAATCATATCGCTCTCTGACGTCAGTGGGATGCGAAGCCCTGCAATTTCCCCTAAGAGGAGGGGAAATTACCGGCCTTTGCGGCAGCTCAAGCATTCGGGTTCATGACAGACAGACGGATTCACAGACGAATCAAACCAGCCACGATTGGTAAAAAATAGAACCCAGTATTTCAGTGAAAAGAAAAAAGAGAGTGATGTGTGAGGAACGACCGTGTCGCTGCGCTGCTGGAATTAATGCTGCGAAGCTGTGGATTATGCTAAATTTACCACGACAACAGGTAACAACAAAGAGGAGGGGTTGAGTTTGTATTTACAGTGGGAACGGCAGGAGCAGAGAACTGGAGAGGATCAGAGAGTGAACAGGGAGATTTCTGACTGAAATAATAAATGATTAAAAATGAGTCTGGGTCTGACTGAAGCTCAAACATGTGGCTGAGACTCTCTGATGTTTCCTCCTCTGACCATCGTGCTGCTGCTCTGCTCTTTCACCTGTCCACCTGGAGCCAGCAGGTGGTGGTGGGCGGGGCATCAGGTCTGATCCACGAGTATAAAACATGACTGGAAAAGGAACTTTAACCTCTTGCCACTGCCTCATTTTCTACACCCTACTGTTAAACAGATTAGATATGTACAGACACGGAGTCAGAGCGACAAGAAAAGGAAAGACTCCCAACAACACACAGCCAACTCTTATCCACTTAATGACCTGCACCCCCCCACCCCCCCCCATTACGGTACACGGCGCGTCTCAGGCGGTACACATGACTTGCCGTGTCCTGTGGCACAGAGACCGTGTGAGTAATGGGTGGCGTGATTAACAATGGCACTGCTCACAATCATCCCCTCCTTTACCCCCTCCCTCCAATCAGTATCTGTCTAGTTGCTCTGTCAAACTGCCTCGGGGAGGATCAGCTGAATTCAGCGTTTTTCTCAGCGGAGACTGGGAGTGTCACTTCTCAAATAAATTAGAAGTAAAATTATTGGCGTAGATCTGAAGGTTCATCGGATGCTGTTGATCTCTGTGTTCTCGATCGCTCTCACACTTACAAGCCTTTTTTTTCTTTTTCCTGGAAGATAATGTAGATACATCTGATAAATATGGAAGTTATGACCTGTTAGAGTGTTTTAATATATCCTGTTAATGGGAGAGACTCGAACACCAAACACACTCTGACCGGAGCTTCACTTGACAACTAAAGATGAACAACCGACGGATTCTGCAGCTTCATGTTGTTACTGGACATCAAACGCACCGTTAATCCAATTCACAACAACGACAATGAAAATAAAAGAAGAAGAAGAAGAAGAAGAAAAAGAGGAAGAAGAAGAAGATATCACAACACAATCTTACAGCATCTCATTTAAAACCACACTGTTATCCTGAGCTGACACGCAACACTGCAACTGTAAGAACATCATTATGCTCCTCTGTCTGACAGAGGAGGGGGGGGGGGTAACGTGATGAGCAGAAATCTGTTAGGTAATATACATAGATCTGAACAAATGATTACTATCATTACTGAAAGCCATTCCAAGTCGGTGTGGACGCTCCATTTCAGTCAGAGGGAATTCATCTACAGCCGCTTTGGTTTTAACAGCGGTAACAAATGCACGACACGTGGGGATCATCATGCCGTTTAACTTGAGTCGATTTAACAACAGCTATTCATTTTTTTTCTAGTACTGGCATTTCTATTTTTTTTTTTTTTTTACAGCTACCAATATATACTTCCTCTTGACTTGGAGGATAACCAGACCTCAGCATCTTCCACACTTTAATACACTTTAGTTTCCATTTAGTAACATGTGTGCGTCTCTTTTATCCAGATCTCAAATCTTACAGCATAAATCTTTGTTTTCACGGACTACATCCAAATAATGATCAGTCCTTCTAGAGGGTTTTGGTAATTCACCCGGAGGTGTTTGATAACTGCCAGAAACCACAGAAGAAGAGCAATGCAGTTAAATACTTCTGTACTTAATTAAAATTAAACACATGGGTGACTCACACGGATGTTGGGATCTCACTCAAGCCACTTCCTCACCCACAGAGAGGATTCAGTGGTTGAACTGATCAAGGATCAGTTAAATGCCACAGCCTCCTGTTGACATATCCCAGTGTAATGTCAGCTGACATTTTTACAGAAGACGGACACAGAGAGAAGTTATTTTCAGACAGTCTCTCCTGCAAGGCGTTTCGTAATATCATTCATATGAAATATGGTGGAGGGTATAGTATTTTTTATCTAGTACCACCGGAAGTAGTAAGACCACTGCCACCAAGTGCACCGCTCATCTTGGCGGAAAGTGCCCAGCGCTGGCATTGTGACTGTTCTGCTAACGCTACGCTACAACAGGCCAGTGCTGACCAGCAGGTAAAGCATGATGAATGGGCAGTTACTGAGACCTCTCGCTCTGCTGCTACCAAGTACCTTAATATCAGGTAGAAATCCTTCCGACTTCTCCGCAGGTTTGTGACTTCGCTGCAGCCATGAAAGAACTAAGCTCCGCTATTAGCAAGCTGCAAAAACGGTGCATGCGGACGGGGCCTTCAACCGTTCAATTCTGAGATCTGCCCGTCCCAAATTTCACCCCACTGTCTCCCGGGGGGAGACAATAACCTGGACCATGTTTACACCAACACTGCTGAGGCTGAAAATAAGAACATTCTTTGACCACCTATCCTTGCTCTTACTACCCAATCACACCCCTGTCATAAGATGAGTGAAACCTCTAAGCTCCAGTAGCAGAACCTTCTCACAGGACGTGGGGTGTGTTTGTCACTCAAGCCCTGGATGAACAAGGAGGTCCGTCTCCGAGTGACGGCACGGGATGCCGGGGGCCAAGAGGAGAATCTCAACAATTCTGATCCTCAGTGAATTCTGGAAAGAAATCCGCAATGATCTGTGAGTTCGCCGGACTCACTTTGGTCACAACCGAGAAAAAAACAAAAAGCACCGAGGTTTTTGATACCCAGCTGTTCTGACATAACCAGACTCTGGATGTTTAGAGCAGCAGATGTAAAAGCTTTCAGGACAAAGTGCCGAACGTTGAACAGCAGCTTTGTTGTAACACTTGACAACAGAGAGAAGCAAAATGGAAATCGAACATGAACATGTCATAGGTTATTACTTTAAAAAAAAAGTATTCTTAGGGGCTAGGTCTTGCTGGTGCAAGTTGCAAGTTAGCTAAATGAAGACCAACTATACAAGTAGGACAGCGGTGCATCGTCCCACTGATGTCGACTGAGGACAAACAATAAGACGCTACTAATGCTAATGTCAGCAGAGATCCTGAATACCTCCTCCTCTCTGTTCCCCTTTAATTCATGTTGTTAGTTGGTATAATGTGTTTCTTGTGCCTCTTCACACCGTTTCAGACGCAGGCATTTACTGCGGTACAAGGTGCAGTCTTCAAAGAACAACCACATCATTAATGTGGGCGGCAGCGCTGCAATTAGGTACGACACTCACACCATTTAACACGATAAAGCTCGCTGTAAGTCAAGGCCCATTAGTCCTGAGTGATGACATCACTCTCATCTGATCCTGAGTTATGGCGCCGTGGTCTCGAGCCGGACTCAAAGCGACGGATAAACTCGTCTGGGGATAAATCAATGAGGCTCGGCTTGTTGTGAATGTTCCCTCCGCACCGTTTTCTGCGGCCTTGTGCGATTGGCCACCTTCTGCCTCGGCCGAGACGCAGAGGACGTCGAGTGCGGCTCTGCCAGGCGACATCACAGTTAAGGATGATGGATTGACTTTCATCACAATGTGCATATAAAATACAGATGGATCAATAAATACAGCATATATTAATGTAGTTTAAATGCCAATGATGATAAAGCATATCACTCTCAGCATCGTGACAGGTGTGAATCTGGTAAGAGCTGATTCAGTACAGCCTGACAAACGGTGGAAGCCAAACCTTAGTCATTCGACGGCCACAGTTATATTTAATAGTTAGTATTAATAGAGAAGTGCTGATGTTAACACAATGTACCAGCAGCATACATGTCAGACAGGCTCTGACACACACTGCACAAGCTGCAGAGTTATCATCTATCCTCAGGCCGTGGACCTGGAAAATAAGGGAAGGTGTGAAGGAGTGACAGAGAGACAGAAGAAAAGTGCATATGCAGACTTTTTTTTCTCCACCATAGTAAAGTGAAGAAAATTCATTCGCATTCGTCCATATGTTCACAATCATTGTACTGACCTTCCCTGCGCTGCCGAGGACGACGTCGAATGTGCCTGAAACAACAGGGGGCCGAGACCAGAAAGGCTCCAAGTGTAGTGTTTTCAAATTTCAATATCTTGGTAAAAACTCAATTTGTTTCTGTAATCGTTATAAACAACAGGGGCTTATCTGATGTTAGTATTTATTGCAGTTGTCTTGTTAAAATTAATTTAAAAAAAAACAAAATAGTTTCACATTTCTGGGAATACACACATTAGCTTTCTCGTCAAGAGTTAGATGAAGCTTCAGTCAAGTAGCAATTAGATTATCTTAGAGTAAATTAGATTATATTAGATTAGAAGCAGGGGAAACGTTTAGAGAAACAGCAAGTGATCTCATTGACATATCTTGTTTAAATCTGTACACAAAAAAAAATAATAATAAGAAATGTTGTTTTAGGGGGTGACTCGATGTCGGAAAGTGACAGTCCGACCCGACCCGGGCTAGCTGTTTAGCATGCTAGCAGAAAAGAAGTGATAGAGCTGGAGTCAGCTCCTGATGAGTAAAGGAATGAAGTTTGATGCTGAATTCTTCTAAAAACTTCTTGTAAACAGCTGTTGATGCTAACGCTGGCTATTTAGCAATACAAAAATGTACAAATAGCTCTTTTAAGAGCGATGCTTTTTGCATATTACACTTTGCTTTGCTTTGCTTTGCATAAAGACGACTATAGTGTCGTTTTGAAAATGCCACAACAGAGCAGCAGGGTCACTCCACCAATTCCTAGGCATTAAAACATGACCTGAGACGATCAATACTCTGATTTCACCACAGTAGAAACTAGAAACTAGAAAAACAGAACCATTTTTACAAAGACTAAATGAAAATCTTGTAACAGTTTCAGTTAATTCGATTTTTTTCGGGACTATTGTAAATTCTTGATGAATTGCTCCTAATTACTTCTTCTTATTAATGACTTTTTCCAGATGTTTTAATCTAATTCTCAGCAAGTAGAAATCTGAACTGTTCCACAGCACCACAGGCTGATGACCAACTGGTCCATGCATCACAAAATGACAGCTGCTCAGTTACCTAGAAAAAAAAAAAAAAAGTCTCTATATGTCTCTAATTATACAATGTGGGCGAATTAAAATTTATATGTGAACCATATGTGGTGGCTAATGAACCGGTTGTGCCTAAAACAATCAGGATTACATAGTTTAATTAGCAAAGATGGCGGAAATTGGTAATCTTCTTGCACAGTGGCACAGACTCAAAACAAAGCAAAACCACTGGCTTTATGCAAATAGGTTCATCAGTATATTAACACAACATTATTAATGCGATTACGTAAATGTATTAGAGCGCAAGATAGCATCAAATGTGTTGTTTAGCAAAAACTGCATCCCATAATGTCGCCATAATAACTGCATTCAGAGCTGCAGTTTAGAAGGAGCCACATCTTATCTCCTTCATTCAGGGCCCCCAATTATTGCTCAGCTAATTAAAACACTGAAACAGTATCGCTTAAATGACCTCATGAGAAGAGTGGCGCTGGGGCTGAGACAAACACGCGGCGTCGTATGTGTTTACTTTCCCTGTCATCAAGCGAAGCCTCTGCGGTGCAGCGGCGGGTCCGTATTGATCGCTCGCTAATATTCACCCGCCCGTAGAGTCTGTGGTGAAGAGGTTCCACCGTCTGACGGAGGAGATGGAGAGGTCAGGAGCGAGACAGGAAAGAAAAGAGGCTGAGCACGAACTATGAGAAAAGACTGGAGAAGGCACGCAATGAATGAGCTTCGAAGGTCAGGGAGAAGGTGAGACTACCTTTTTCTTTTTTTTTTTAAAACCAGGAATAAGAATTACAAGAGAGGAAATCCGACAGTTGAAGCGAGGAAGCCAGAAGCTAGGAGAGAAACGGAGGTGTAGAGACCTTGAGACCTTTCTCCTATTACTGTTGAATCTTAAATAAGGCAGCCAGAATCCCCGTAACAGAAGGAGCTCCGTGCGCAGGGGCACACCAACACTCATTTCTGCGTCCAACGCGGACATAACGCCGCCGTAGCCGTTTAAAGATGGAACGATTCTAATACGATTCACCGTAGCGAAAAATATCCATCACAATCGAGTCGAAGATGATGCCTTAAAACCTCAAAGATGTTCAACAATGGAGGAATAGAAGTTTATAGAAAGGAAAAATGCATATGGCATAATCATGTTGCCATCAATCAATCTGTAAGATTGTGACTGAAACCCACATTTGGCCCAAACCATCACCAGCTTCCCTCTGTATCAACTGATGCAAACGCAACATCCTCCTGATGCTACGTTTGAATAAAATATTTACTTCTACATTTGCATTTTAACTGGTTATGGTTTAAGGGAGGGTCAAACCTTTTAGTGGATCATGCTAATTAATTATATGCTAATACTGGGTAATGATATAATAACCTGAACCTGTATTATTACGGTATTGTATGTGTTACACATGTGAAATAAACAGGGAAAGGTTCATAGTATGTTGAGTTCAACAAGCCCAGCAGGTTTATATCGACAGATGCTGCGGGCTCCGGGTTTTCACCGAGGTTAAAATGTGAATTTCTGTGTCAACTCACCGTCATTGAGGTCCTGCAGCAGGTTCTCCTGACCAGAGAAGTCCAGCTTGACTTTGATGTTTACAGTCAGTGTCACAGCCTGGCCGGACTTTAGAGGCAGGTGAGACAGAGGCTCATCCAGCTCCCAGCTCAGAAACTCCCCGAACACTTTCTCTGCACAGACACAAAAGAGAGACAAAGAACAGAATTAGAAAATACATAACAAGGCATATCTGAGCATGATAAAAAAATAAATAAAAAAAAAACCTTCAGGGATAAAAGATGGCAAGATGTGCCAAAAGAACTGTTTTAATATTTGTGGATGGAAATATTTTTGGACAAGGAAAAGAGCCCAAAGGCAAATAGCACATGTAAGCATTTAGCAGAAGGATTCACTTTGAGTTGCTGGTTGTGTAGTTTGTGCAAAAAGAGGTGGAAAGCAAAAGAGACGCACCTGATTAAACCTGCTGCAGAATTGCACATTACAAAGAAAACCGGTGCTACTGCGATGTTTCTTAGGGATTTTTGCTTTCTGCTGCAACAAAGCAGCTGATTGGCCTCCTGCCTACGAGTAACTGCCGGTGCCCGTCACGAGACCCTGATGCTCTACTTTATGTCTCCAACCCCCCCCCCTTTCTACCTGAGACGAATGACTCAGCTGCATCCACTTGTGCCAGGAGCGTCAGACGACTGATACATCACCTGAATAAAGCATGTGTTCTGTCTGTGCAGGTGAGCCACTCCTGCTCACAGGGATTTGCAGGAACAGCTAGGAAGACTGATTTTTATGGACGCACAGCAGAAGGGGTTGATGCAAGTTCGCAGTAAGAACAACAGTTTACACGTCCCCCGCTCGATTCATAACCGAAGCCTTTAAAGTCCTCTAAGAGGATGTGAATGCAGGCAGCATTAAATAAAGATTTTTTGTGAATAACGCTCCACTTTAAATATTCATAAACTGCGAGTCTTTGCAGTGAATTAAAAGAGAGAAAAACGGAGAAGAGAGGGCAGAGAGTGGGGGTAATAGTGGGAATGATTTAAAAGAGAAAAAATGGGATTGGAAAGAAAAAAAATGTCTCTTTCTCTTGAATATGCAACAGCAGCAACAGGTAGACGGCGAGGACTGTGGATGACGTCACATCACCGTCATTCTCCGCTAAACTATGAGTCACAAGAAGTGGCAGCCGCAATGACTGTCAGGAAGTCTCTCATGCCTTATTTCAAGTATTAACCGGAGGCATTCCTGCATTTGAGAATACAATATGTGAGAGCGTGTCAGTGCTACGTCAGAGCGGATATGAAACACTGTCCAGAAGCACTGAGGCTAGGTTTTTAAGATCTGAATCCTCTGAGTCACCCACTTTTCTTTCTCCCTTCGCAATGCACCTGCAGGAAATGGAAGTATAACAGGCACCAATCAGAACAAATCAGAGGAACTGAATGAAGTTCTGTCGAAAAAGTCGAAAAATAGCCATGAAGGTAGCCATGAATTAGCATAAAGCTCTGTTTATTACACCTAGCTAAAACTATTGAAGTCTAATACAACAGCGCTGTAATAAATTCTACCTTCTTGAAGATTGAAATGTTCCGTTTGTTGCTTGTTGATCTGTACTGCATTGCACTAACTAACTACGTGTTTCTAATGTTTTATATTTCAGCGAGGTTAAACTAAATCACAGAAGCACATTCTCTCTATATTCTGTTGACACCTCTGGAAAAAGCCAGTAAGTGGACTACGAGTTTAGAGGTTTCTGTCACACCGTGACTGATACTTTCCCACTTTTCCGAAGCAATATCCACAATCATTGCACTTCACTACACGGGGTTCTGCACAGCCTGTAATGGCAAAGTGGCACAGTCTGAAAGAAGAAGCTCTTCTACTCATGTAGGACAAAATTACGGCACTTTTATGATTCAACTTTTAGAAAAGAAGATCAGAGGCACTACACACAGCAATGGAGATGCATTCGACGAAATCCGGCAAAGATAAGGACAAATTTTTAAACCTAACTCGGTCACAAGAAGAAATACACTCAGGATCTGTCTGACACAGCTCAGGAAACTGCACTGATTGATTAATTTCATGTGCTGCAATGTCGGGAAGGAAGACTAAGAGTCTACAGCCTCGCTGGCAAACTCTACTTGCGTTAAGCTAAATGTTAGTGAGAGAGTGAAGTCCACCAAATTCCTGGAGGTTCACAAAGATGAATTCTTAAACTTTAAGAAGTTGAGGTATTTTCTACAACTTAAAGCATCTCAAACCTTGTATCAGTCCTTATTTGAGCCTCATGTAAATTACTGTAATATTATACGGTGTAATATTTTTCCTAGTTATCTTGAGAAACTACAGATTCTACAGAAAAAAGTTGTACGGGTAAAATCATGGACCCGCTGACCCTCTTTCCCAATGTTGAAGCTTACTGAATGTAATATCTTTCACAATGCTTGTATTACGTATAATGTTGTATTTAAGATAAACGACAGACACTGGGATCTTATTCCAATTCACCTTCCCTCACATACATACAAGACCAGAGAAAAGCTTCTTAAAGAGTAAGAGACGTAAACTTAAAAGACAGAATTTTAGTGGCAGTCGCGACTCAAATATGTTTAAACTTGTTTAAAAGACTGAGCTCTTCAGAACTGGTTTTAACATTAACATTTGGACTGATGGCATAGATGTTTTCGGACAGTTTAGTTATTACTTTTTAGGGTTTTTAGGTATTTTTTGTGGCGGAAATTTACAATTAATTTACAAGCTTCAGAAGCGTATTGGGGATTCCCATTTTCACCCATTTGCTGTTATTATATTTGTATTGATTTGAGTGTATTTTATGCTGATTTATGTAAAATAAATGAAATGAAAAATTTCAATGCTTATGAAATACCACTTAGCATGTTGGTCTAGCATGGTAGCATGCTAATATTTGCTATCGTCACAAGAAGAAACATCTGGGATCTCCGAGATTATTACAGTTTATCCTGAGGGAACATGAATGTCTGTAACATGTTTGTACCAATCCACCAAGATATTTCACTGGATAGGTGAGTTTGACAGTGACGTTGCCCTGCAGGTGGCGCTAGATTAAAAAAATAAAATAAAACAAAGGATCCTAAAGTCAGTATGATTCATCCTCTGGGGTTCAAGAAAACCTGCAAACAATCTCATGACATTCTACCCAACATTTCTCAAGATATTTCAGCCTGAAATAAATGTCGGACTGACTGACGCCGCCATCCCTGGAGCCACTCTGCTACCACAGTCAAAAAAAAAAAAAGAGTTGGGAGAAGTTCAGACAAGTGGCTGCATCAGTCACAAACCAGCTGGAATATGTGAAGAAAAGCCTGACACACACGCAGAGGAAGGACAAGCAACGCTGCCGTTTAAACACAAGGCTGGAAGTTTGATAAATCACCAGCTAGACACAGCTTGTTTTACACCACAGTCTGAAGTCAGTTTAAAGTTGGGAGATGATGTATTCATGCATTGCAGTGCTTACATAATAATAGAAGTTAATAATATCACTGGGGTTTGCCCTGCTCTACATATGCATTATAACAAAAACAAGCCAGAAAGATGACAGCGCTAATAAGGGGAATTGTTAGTTCACATTTTTGAGATACAAGGAAAGACTAAAAAAAAAAAAAGACTGATGTTCAAACTCAGGTCAACAGCATATGAGCATGTCTCTGTGTCTGTGTAAGTTAGCAAAAAAAAAAATAATGAGAGATTTCTGCTGTTAAAAACACAAATGCCTTTCTGCCAGACGTCCCTAGTGCTGCAGATAAACAGCCACCAAGAGGAAACTGGTGTTGTTGAATGAGAAAGACGGACTGCACACAAGCAGCTGACAGCCAGCTCCGCTCATGGCAACAAAATCACTGAAGCAACATTAATCCCTCTCTTTTCCTTTCCTTTTTTTTTTTTTTTTTTTATGGTTTGCACAGTCAAAGGTGTTTTGTCCTCAAGAGACATTTGATATGAAGCTGCATAAAAGTGTTTTAGAGGACAACTGAGCCGAGCTGATGTTTATATCCACAAAAGAGCAGTGAGGTAGCAGTGATGAACAAAAGGTCTGACGGCCGCTCATTCAAAGGCAACTTAGTTTATGTTTACTCTTACTTAGATGCGATATAATAGATTATTGCGTTAAGGGGTTTATTTTTTGTTATCTATAAAAGTTTCCTGTGAATAAATGTTTACTTTTTGAGAAACTGAGCTCCTATCTCATATGTCAAGATGGCTGTGCTGTGGCAGAAAGAGTAATGTTTTGTTTGTTTTGCCACAGATGTCCTCCTATTGTGACTCTTCATCTTTTATTCATTCGGTTCCCACAGAGAACGCAGAGAGGGCTTCAGAGAGGCCGTCTCAACCGGGGCCTGTCTAAAGCCACGACCAGGATACGACTAAGGAGGCACAGGCAGGTGATGACGGAGTAATATGGCGACCAAGAGACGGGTAAGTCCCGTCATCGTACAGCTTCTGTCCCTGCGGCGTTAATGATTTCCTTCTTACTGATCAGTACGGTGGCGAGAAGAAGAAAGCGAACCCTCTGGAAGATACAATAATGAACAAACACAATCTGCTTTAACTAACAACACGGAAGTAACTGCAATTGTTTTTGTCCACATTGAAAACATCAGTCAAACATTAACATCGCATGCGAACCCCTCAGCTAACAGCTAAACGAAAGCTAACTGGAGCCAGGAGTTATCAAACCCGGAGTCCATTCAACGATGTGAACCATGCGTCGCAAAAAAGACAATCTCAGACGACCTACGATCAAGAACTGTTGATTTGAATAAAGCTGGAAAGGGTTACAGCGTCGTCTCAAGGAGTTTAGATATTCATCAGTCCACAGCTGGACAAACTGTCAATGGACGGAGGTGATTTTAGTTGTGGCCCTGCTAAGATGACACTCAGATCAGACATTTTATGACCAATTCATGAAGAAAACCAACTAATTCCAGGGTTCACATTCTTTCTCTAGCCACTGTATGTATGACTGAGGCACCCAGAGGAAGGTACTATGTCTTTAGGGGAAGAAGTGAATGTATTATTCACAACGGCTGGAAGAAAACGAGACAGCGCTGAAACCTGAACGTGAAACTTGCCGCTGACTGACTCAACAGGGGTCAGGTGTGAACATCATGCGTACAGAAATTATGCATAC